ATACAGTTAACTGGTTAACAGCGTTTGTTTAACACTGAAGTTCCCCTTTAACTAAAAAACCAGCTGTGTTTAAAAACATATTTAATTTAAAGAGATGTAGAACTAAAAGGAATCTAAATAATCAAAACCCAATTTGTTCTGTTGCTTCAGCCTAATTATCAACTCTAAAGTGAGCATTTTGTCATTTGTGTCTTATTTTAGCTCCTGTATCTCATTCCAAGACTRCTGCCTGAAGCCAGAAGGACTGATTCTTGTGCCGAGGAACTTCAGGAGGAGAACTCAGTCAACCTGTGGAGCAGCATCATGGACGATAACACCACCTGGAGAAAGACTCTCCTGCATCTGTGGAGGCACTCGGCCTTCCAACAGCTACAAGAAGGGTCTCAGTATCRGGTAAGAAGACATGTTTTCACTCTGGATTTAATAGTTTTTCCCGCTGATGTCAATGTTTGAGTGCAACCATCAAGGCAAGATATTTTTACCATTAAAAATGTTACAAATTTTCAATGATTATTTGTATCAATGTTTAAATAGTCAATAAACATTGTTGTTTGTTAAGCTGTGCTTCTCAGAATGGCTGAAACTTGAGCTCAGAGTTCAAAGAAGTGAAGACGTCCTGTCTGACGCACARCGGTGAGGCACAAACGTTTGTATTCTCATATGAAACGTGAACAAATGTCATTTGTTTACAGACTCAAACACATCTATTAGAGTGTTACTGTTTAAAGAATCTTTAGTACTTTTAAGAAGTCTTGTCTGTTTCAGTCAGGAATATCAGCAGTGGGCCTGTTTGGAGCTTTACTTGACTCGTCCTGAAGAGGAGGGAGGCTTTGGGGGAGACATGAAAGAACTCTGCTCTCGTCTGATCAGCGCCATTATGGATCAGCAGCTAAGGTGCGTAAAAATCTCAAATCCTGAATCTGAGAGGGTTTCATTTAAAAGTTTATCTCTTGAATATTTCTGTGGAAGCTTTCCAGAAGAGTTTTAGAGGAGATATATCCTGCTTTTAAATTCTTCTTTTTCACATTTACATGATTTGTAATAGCTCAGAAAACAATATACAAAATAAACAAAATACAGAAAACTGAACAGTTTTTGCAGGATATRTTCCCTTTAAAGATRAGAAAACCTTTTTATAAAATGCTTGAAATACATCGTACAAAACTTTGTCTCATTTAGACAATAAATGTAACAAACATGTTTGGACAAACATGATTCCTACTTTAAATATTTTAATCGCAGGGCAAAAATAAAATAAATTGTAAAATTGTCATAAAACAAATTCTTCATTTAGTGTTAATTTACTTTGTCAGATAAATGTGATTTTGTTGTGTTTTTTTGTCGACAGTGAGCCGAGCCTGGAAAAGCCAAGTTCTCAGGCTGTAGCGTCTGGAACAGGAACCTGTTTACCAGATATTCAGTCCAGATTACAGGTGTGTCTGTTCTARTCGTACCGTAAACCTTTAAGATCAGTTTTTAACGACAGAGCAGACAGGGATAAATTGGACTTAAAGAAAATAGACGGTTCATTACCAGAGGGATCAGATCTTTTGGGTTGGACCATCTGTGCAGAAGTTTTTATATTGTACCAAAAATAAAAAAGTGAATTTGGTTGTTTGTACAGGAGCTGGTTTATGAAATGGAAGTCAGCAACCTGTCGGGCAGCTGTGGATCTGATCTGTGTGACTTCCTGTTTGAGGCGGTGTCTCAGAGATGCTCCAACGCTGAGACTTCAGCTTCTCTCAGCTCTGAGCTCAGCCTGCAGCGCACCCTAAACTCATGGAACAGGTACCACACACACATACACACACACGCACGTTGATGTAGTCAGCAATATAAGGAGAGTTTTAGCTGTTTAATTTAAAAGAGATGATGCTGACAGTCTGTGTAAAAAGCTTCTAAAGCCTTTTTTGTTTTTTTAGAGTGCTGCTGGCTCTCCCAGCTGTGCTGTTCATTAAAACAAAAACTGAAGGAGGGAGGACGACTTTGGACTGCAACAAACTGACAGAACACATCAATCAGCATCAGGTATTTGGGTGTATAAAGTTTYTCTCTTAGGTTAACAAAAAATTAACTTCATATCGTTATAAATTCTTCCTCCTCCTTCCATCATCAGAGGAAAGTGTGTTTTCCAGCCGGCGTGCTGCCCTGTCATCTAACAGGACACTTTCTGAAAGTGAGCGTCTGTCMTTTAATCAAAAAGGTGTTTCTTATCTGAATACAACGAGTTAATCTGTTATTTGATGTTTAGGGTTTGTTGTTTGCCAGTGTTCAGTGTGGACGTCCAGCAGACGACTTCAACAAAGCCTGGACTCAGATGAGCACCCGATGTCCCCTCCTGGTRGTCTCCACAGTGGTACAGCAACTAAAAGTCATCTTTTAAATGTGACTTAAAATATCTCATGCAGGAACTGGATAATTTAAACTTTTAACTTAATATTGCTCATGTAGTTCATTTTTGTATTTTTCATGTTATTAAATTCCCTTTAAAGTGAATCATTTAGTTTGCTTTGTATTCTCTTGCAAATTACTCAGTAATTTATAGTTAAATTACTACATTATATTTTCTTACTAAAACCTCTAAAACAATATTTTTTCAAAAGATTATTGTGGTAAAATTAATGGGAAATGATACCATTTGTGGCATCTAGTGGAAAGAAGATGCAAAGAAATCTGATGTTTTTTTGTTTTTTTTTTGTAAATATGGACATTATTGAAGCTTGAGTTTGTTTGTTGAAGTTTTTTTTAATAAGTGGCAGATAAAATAAGATTTTTTTTCTTCATTCTGCAC